GGAAAAGACAACATGGAGCAGGCTCCTCTCAGCCAATGGGAAGACCATGCAGGGCAGGCGGCCCCTCCTCTCAGCCAACGGGAAGACAACACGGAGCAGGAGGTCCCTTCTCTCGGCCAATGGGAAGACAACGCAGAGCACATAGGTGGGCCTCGTGCTCCCTCTGCTTTGTCGCTGACCTTGCCGGCCACATCCTCCAGCACCTGGGCTGGTCCCTGTCATATGCCGGGGAAACGGGATGCCTCTCCAGCAGTACGTGTCTGCCCCGGCCCTGTGGTTTGCCCCGAGCCCACGGATCCCATGTCAGCTATTTCTCTGGAATGAAAACCAACACTAGCCACTGGAAGCAGATTATAAAATCTAAAACCACAGAGCTGGAGGGAAACTCAGCCGCTAGTCTGCTGTTTCCGAAAGTGATGATATTTTGGGGGAAAAAAATCGGTGGCTAGAAAATTAAAAATAAGAAAAATGCCAGGTAACATTTCTTTTCAAGGATGACCTGGGGGCCAGGCACTGCTCCGAGCAGCCTGGACCTATCGGTTCTATTGGGGTGGCCAGCTTGGCCCGCAAGAAATACTGAGATTCCAAGAACACATGCCTTCTTTGCTTTGGCCACCAGGGAGCTCGTGTGTCAACTGGCAGGACCGTATGTGTGTTCCTTGGCCCTGTCACACCCAAGTCCCACAAACCGAGGGGCTTAAACAACAAAAATGTATCGTCTCCCGGTTCGGGAGGCCAGAAGCCTAGATCAAGATGGTGGCCAGGCCGCGCTGCCTCTGAAGGTATAGGGACGGATGTGCTCCAGGCTTCTCTCCCGGCTTCTGGAGACACCAGCGTTTGTGGCAGAACTCCAGTCTTCACGTGGTGTGCTCCCCGTGCGTGCCTGTGTCCAAATTTCTCCATTTCATGAGGACCTCGGGCATACTGGGTTGGGCCCACCCCCCTCCAGTACGGCCTCATCTTGACGAACTATATCTGAACAGCCCTAGTTCCAAATAAGATCACTGTCCAAGGTCTGAGGGTTAGGGCTTCAACATAACTTTTTGTGGGGGGCGCCTCCTTCTCACTTGCTGTGTCCTTACGTGGCCTTTCCTTAGTGTGAAAAGAAGGGAGAGGGAGGGAGGGAGAGAGGGAAGGAGAGAA